TAGCTATAATTTTTTATTTTTTTAAAAATAAAACCCAAATTATAATATTTTTTACATAAAATATGTGCATTTGTCCAATAAACCAATTCTGCTAAAGAAGTAGCTTTGTTATAAGAGGAACCTTTACGTATAGCAACTCAACAATAACCTAATTACTCTTCATAATTATATTTTGATAATTACAATTCATAGCTATTGTTATAGGGAGGAGATAGACGAGTGAGATTGGAGAGGAAAGAGACAGACCTGAAGAGAGGTGAATTGTATACGTAATAATATTATTATTATTATTTGTTAATAATTATTATTGTTTGTTATTATTTGTTATTATTATTATTATTATTATTATTATATTATTATTATTATTATTGTCTGTTATTATTATTAGTTTTATTGTTTGTTAGTAATAATTTGCCCTAATATGTTGTTTATGGCATTTCAATTACCACATGATCAGTTTATTGCTGTTTTGACTATTTTTGCACCGTTTTCTGTTTCAGTTTTCTCTTCATTGTTTTTTTTATATCGAAATTTGTTATACATAAATTGAGAGTTTTTCGAAAATAATTTCTCCATCTCTATGAAATAGTGTTAATATTTATATACATTTTAGACTTTTCAAATCTCAATTATTAAATTTCACTGATTATGTTATTATTATTATTAGGCCGAGTATATCACGACTCACAACCACACTAGTCAAAGGCTATGTTATGCAGGTGATTCGAGAATGGCCTTGGCAGTTGGTGGTCTCAAAATTTCTATTCCATGCACTTTTTTTTTTCATGGAAAAACAATTTTAATCTTGAAAATCTGTTCATGCAGTAAATAGGGGACAAAAGTTAAATGAGAAAATAAAAAAATTATACTGTTAATAAACAACAAATTACGTACCTATTCATTTTATTATATACATATAGGCTTTTATTATAATATATATGTGTGATAATATTCTAAATCAATAGACAACAAATCATCATTATAAAACATTATCACATAAGCAATACTGGAAGTCTTGGTTTAATATTTGTGAAGTAAATTTCAAAGTCATCGTACAACTTTATCTTCTCCTCATAGTAGACATTATTCTAATTTCTATGCCAAATCCTATTTTATCGCATTATCGAATGTGGAAGTATTTTTAATATATATTCAATTTTTCGTGTAATAACCTTCGGATGTTGAATGATTAGACAAAAACAAACAAACAAAAAAGAGTAACACAACTACCTTTTCTTTGTAGTAGATAGATAGCGTTCGACATCAATTTTATCAAAAGAATAAATTTGCGAATACTGAATAACTAAATAAGAAAAACAAAATACAACTATATGTTAAGATGTAAGTCCTTAGGGATGACTCTGTTAGTTTGAAGGTTGGTTATCCACATAATTTTTCATTATCGATTCCCTCTCAATACTTTCTGAGTCGATTGTGTCGCATAGGGTTTGCCAAGTGCAATTTATATCCCTCTGTGTGGTTTGTAGGCCATTACATAGCGACGAAATTTACCCAATGCGTATAAAATGCTCACCGCAGAGTGTATATCATTCAAAAGACAGAAGCTGTGACATAAATTGTAGCAGCTACGGACGGATTATCCTGAAATAGGAAAAACTTATCTTGTGGGCGTACGGAGAGCCTTGTAAGATAGGATATTATTATATTGTGAAAAGTGAAAAATAATATGTTTTTAATGAACATTTTCCATGCCACTATAGAGATAGAATGTCGTACAGTTTTGGATATACTTGAGGGAAATGGTCAAAAAGGCTTTTAGTTGACAAATTAATTTAATATCAACCACATGATATTTTAAAATTGTAACCATTTTGTTTGTTTTTTTGTTTAGATTTAGAGGCGTTGATAACCACACATGAGAGTGACAAATAACCAGCTTCATAATAGTTTATTGCTGTAGGAATTAGAATTTATTTTTAATTAGAATCATTTCATCACTGTTGTTGGCACCACCTTAATTTTAATTTCAATTTTAAAATATACAATAACTCATTAGTCAAACACAGACTTAATTTTTTCTTAATCCTACTTTCAGATATATGAACACTACATTTAGCAATTTTGTTATTTTCAATGTAACCAAAAATTTTAGCACAACCTATTAAATTCATATAATAGAACTAGAACCAGGAGCGGCTTAAACATATTAGTGGCCTAAAGCAAAAATTAAATGAGGTTTTAAATTTGAATTATTAATAACTTTTATATAATTGATTTCTTTTAGTTTTTAATTGATTAATGAGATATAATACTCTATATATGTCAAATTTCTTTTAATAATTCCTTCATTTTTCATGAAAAGTTTACTTTTTCTACAAATAGTATTTCAATATTTATTAAAAATATAATAACTTATAATCTATTATTATTAAAAATGAGACCCCTTAAATTTTGAGGACTAAGATGAATGTCCTTTTTTTAACACTATCGAGCCACCCCTGAATAGAGCTATTCAAAACTTTTCTAACTAAAGTAATTCCTTATATAAGTTTCATAAGTAACTATCAGAGAAATTGGATCATACATATAAATAGAGTTATGAAAAGGAATCGGTCCAGACCCGATTGACTCAAGCTTCGCGGGTCAAGGATACTATATACGCGAGATATATGTATATAATGTGATGCATTTCAGATATGCGAGCCTGATGACATGGAAGCGAAAGCGCGTTATTTGTTGATGTATCCTACATACATACATATATCTAGATGTACCTAAATTTGACATGGATAGAAAGTGTCTAAAACAAGTTAACCTAATTTTAATTTCATGTATCATGATATACATATATCTAGATGTACCTAAATTTGATACGATTCGTAATATTACAACATATTGTACACTTAAATAATTAGTTCATATACTAGTGAGATTGCTATAAGTTACACCCTAAATAAATAGTTTTAGCCCATGGCTGACCCTGAGCCGACCCCAATCAGACCTTAATGACCAATGACTTATATTGGTCGGGCTTATTAGCGCTAATTTTGAAGGGCAAAGGACATAAATCACATACGTTTATGGAAAAATTACAATTTATCCCTTATAAGTTTATAATTACAGAAATTCCTCAAACTAATACAATAATATAAGCGCTGATACATTAAACTGATGCGCGAAATACATTAATTGTTAAGTAAGATACATAATATTTTATACAAGATACACTAATCTGGTGTACATTTTATACATGATACACTAATCTGATGCACGAGATACATTAATATGATGCTTGAGATACATTAATCTGATATTCAAAAATGATAGATTTTTGGAGATTTGTAAAATTAATAGGAAATAGTGGTAATAAGAGAATTTAAATGTGGAACTTCTGTTATTTTCCCAATTTCAAATGAGCTTGAAAATTTTTATCCTAACCCTGCTCCAATAATGGCTGATCCGATTCCATGCGCTAAACTCATTTTGACGGCTCTACATATAATACTATTTTAGTGAATAATATTTTTTTTGTTGATAGACATTCTCTATTTTATTGACAGAAAACTTTATTGTACCTAAACGTACGAAATATATAACTAATGCATCTAATTTAGAATATATCTCAAAGATGGCTTCTCATTATTCGTTTCTTTCTATTTAATTTGAGAGATGATGTCAATACAAGTTTTTTAAAAAGTTTTTTTCTGTTATACCAAAGTATTTTCTTACTAAGAAACAAATTTATGTCGACTTTGTTTTTAAATATCACCAATGATTAGCTAATTTTGAACAGTACACCTGCATTTAGAGAATAACTCCTTTTTTTTTTATTAATTATGGCTAAGTAAGCGTTTTATGATAAAGTAGTTAATTCTATAGATCATCTCCGTACGGGTGATGAAGGGAGAGGTAATTTTGGGGTTAATGTGTGCACTTGAAAGAAGAAGTTAAAAAAATATATATAGTAATAATTTAATTTTTGTCCCCATAATAGTTGAAAAAATCGAAAAAAAAACAATTCCATTTTGTTAGCTTGAAAAGACTTTCTTGTTATGTTTATTTCCAATTATAGATATTCATCTTTCCTAAATTTACGTGAAACGATTAAATTTAAGAGTAAAATAATTTAATTTTTAATTATAAATTCGAACATGAAATTCCTAAGATTTTTCTGAATGAAAATCTACATATTTAAAGATCACGTGAAAAATACTACACATCATAATAATTGATAAGATATATAAAAATTATATGAATAATTTATTGTCAAACAAATACTTATTTAAATACGAAACGAAATTAAATCACAAAATTAATAATTACTCCTTCATCTCTCAAAAAATAAACTAAAATAGTACGTTCTAGTTTTTCAAAAGTCTCACAGCTGGCTTAGATTATGGAAGTACTATTATGATACTGTTTAAATTAACAGATTTTTGGATCTTAATTTATCATATATAAATTCCTTAAAATTCTCCAACGTATGTATTCCTTCGTTACCCTTTTTTTTTTGAAAAATAAAACATGAAATGTTATATTTTGTAAATTCCACGTATAGGATAAGAAGAAGTGGAAAATCCACTTAAAACTCGTTTGAAACACGTGCCTTTGTAATGCATCAAGCAAAAAAAATTAAATCATTAATCAAAACCACATTGTTTAGCGGGTATACACACATGCCTGCCCTTATATGTTAAAAAAAAGTAGCCATTTGTAGGTACATGTATTTTTTTAAATTCAGGAGTTATAATCTCTCTGCTTCGAGTGACTACTTTATACGCCTTTGATAAATTCTCCACCATGTAATAACTCTTCGAATCACATAGGGGAATATTTTTTTTAAAAAGAAATTCTATCACTCTATAGCTGTTGGTACATGATATACATAGAAAATCATTCAATGTCATATTCTTCTTATTTAATATCATGATTTGCTTCCAACTAATTAATTTAAACGAATTGCTTTTTTATCTATCATAGCTTAATATCTAAGTGTGTATATATATCATACCTCTCATGTATCATAACCCAAAGCAAACAAAAAAACACATTCCTACTCAAAATTCAAAAACCTCTACATTTGCACAATGAGTGATTATAATTTCAAGCACATCGCCATCATCTTTATTCTCATATCAATTTTCATCCCTCGAGTTTTATCAGTAGTAGAAGATTGTGGAGCGCAAGAAGATAACTCATGTGTCAACAAATCCAAAGCGTTACCCTTAAAAATCATAGCCATAGTCTCCATCCTTATCACTAGTATGATCGGAGTTTGTCTTCCACTAGTCACACGTTCTATCCCGGCCCTAAGCCCGGAAAGAAACCTTTTTGTGATAGTCAAGGCATTTGCTGCCGGAATTATATTGGCTACGGGGTTTATGCACGTGCTTCCTGACTCATTCGACATGTTGTCATCGAGTTGCCTTAAGGAGAATCCATGGCACAAATTCCCCTTCACTGGATTTGTTGCTATGTTGTCCGCTATAGTTACAATGGCTATTGACTCTATAGCAACTAGTATGTATAGCAAAAAACATAGAGCTGGTTTGGTTAATCCAGAAACTGGTGGTGCTGATCAAGAAATGGGTGCAGTAAATGGTGGACATTCACATCATCATCATGGATCACTTTCCACTAAAGACGGAGTTGAAGGCACTAAATTACTACGATATAGAGTCATCGCTATGGTTAGTTTTATTCATCTTTTATTAATTTGGTCATTGTCCTTTACTAGGACACTAATCAGGTAGCATAAATGATAATTAATGGAATTGATTGATAGCAGCAAAGTAATTCGTTTTAATTGATTAGTGGGAAGCAAATCACAATATTAAATAAGAAAATAAAAATCGAAATTACACTTGATGAAGCCTAATGGCACTTGTCAGTACAACTTTAATGTGATATATTTCTTACCAAAATTGGAGAGATCTTTTTTCCTACTTTAATTATAGCTAAAACTTTTGTTAAATTGATTTAGTGTACATATTAAATTTTAAATAAAACAACTGTCCATCTAAATATGTACTTGAGAAAATATAATAGATCGAGAGGAGCCAAATCCACGTATTACTGCTAGTCTACTACTTACTACAAGAAGTTAAAATTTGTGTATATAATTAGTGTATATAAGATAGCTGTTTTTTCAAAAGTATATAAGATAGCTGAAATAGAAGCTTTTTCCTCCTTAAATCAGTTAGAATTTCGTATTATAAAACATGAATTACTTATCCTATTCCTACCTAATTAGCTAATTGATTCAATCAAAATATATCATTTTCTTTTTAGTAATGAGTAAAGATCGTGGTGAGTTGTCTTGATATATTGATCCGTACAATAAATAATATATTGTATGCATGCATTATTTTATTGAAACGAAACAATTCAATAAGGTGAAAGTCAACAACAATCTCTATTATTTGTGTACTTTAAATTTGTCCTATCATAGTCGATTTGTTTATGTATTACTACTAATAAATCCTAATATATCCACATCGTTTTGTCCCTTTGACTAAGTTTTTTTTTTTATGGCTAATCAATCGGTTCATCCATATTGATTTGAACTTAATTAAAAATCAACACAGGCCGACTAATTAAATAGCCTTAATTCTAACTCATTTATTCTAAATCATATATTGAAATCATCATAAAAATGTAATGTTTTTGCAGGTGTTAGAGCTGGGAATCATAGTTCACTCAATAGTAATAGGAATTTCACTTGGAGCTTCAAACAATACATGTACAATTAAAGGATTAGTTGCTGCACTTTGCTTTCATCAAATGTTTGAAGGAATGGGACTTGGTGGTTGCATTCTCCAGGCAAGTTTTCATTTTTTTCCGAATAAATAGTACCTATCATTAATTAAATATATATTACTATTATAGTAACTTTATTTTTTTTCATGCAGGCTGAGTACAAGTTTTTGAAGAAGACACTAATGGCATTTTTCTTCGCAGTAACAACTCCATTTGGTATAGCACTTGGTATGGCATTGTCAACTACTTATGAGGAAACTAGCCCACGGGCGTTAATAACTGTTGGATTACTGAATGCATCATCTGCTGGGCTTTTGATTTATATGGCTTTGGTTGATCTTCTTGCTGCTGATTTTATGGGTGACAAATTACAAGGCAGTGTCAAACTACAAATTAAGTCTTACATGGCTGTTCTTTTAGGTGCTGGTGGAATGTCTCTCATGGCCAAATGGGCCTAGCTTTGTTTTTTCATATGAGTCTGTGAAATACCTCCTTTATTGAATTGCAAAATTGTAATCGTGTATACTTTTCAATTTCGTGGTTAAATTTGAACTGCTATGTATTTCCCTCACTTTAGTATTGTTACTTATGTTATAAAATAACTAGCTAACAAACTAATATTACTAAACTAAATTAAAAATAAGAACAGGTAAAGAGAGAGTATAATAATACGCCATATTGCAAACTTTTCTAATCTCTTCCTATGCGAAGAAAATATGTTATTTATAATCAATAGAAAAATATAAACTAAATACTTGATCATTGATAAGTTATTCATTTAGTCAAATAATTACACCTCAAATATAGATAATCTCACATGTCATTATATTAATAAAGTAAATGACGACTCTTAAAGAATGATCCACGTGTCATTTATTTAGTTTTACAATAACTTAATTGTTTTCAAGCTGTTTATGTGGAGTTTTATAATAGTCAAAGTCAATGGTTTATAATGGATATCCATTTGTAATCTACCAGCGGTATATTAGTATTTCGCCTGAATAAATTTAATTATAGTAGCACTCTTCTTTCAAAATGGAGTACTTCTTTTGCTCACTATTCTTTTGGAATGCATTTGGAATGGTTCCAAAAAAATTTAAGTGACGGTTCTGATACACTTTATTTTGTTGGTTTTTTTTTAGTATTGAGCTTACCTAATTAGTTCGAGGATACATTTTCGTTAACTTTTGCTATCACATTGTTGATCTTTTTCAATCTTTTTTGATACATGTAAGTTTAGATTTTTAATGTATCTAGTTGATTTTGAGTTTCTTTAACTAATGTAATGCTTTCGTTTCAACATCATGATACATTATAATTTTATCATATATAGTGTATTGTGTTCAAATATTAATTTTGATACATAACCTTAATTAGTATTGATACTTGATATCGTGTATCAACCTTTACATTTACCAATTTCTGAAACATCAATGTACTAGATAACTTGAATGTTGATTCATTCATGTATATGTTTGATACCTCAGTTGTAGTTAGTTGTTGATTCATTCAAGTTGTATTAGTACAATTTGTAGACAAGTTTGATTTAAAATTTGTGATTTTTTTGAAATAATCTGATACATACCTTCACTTTTGAACATTTTGTTGAGTACAAAGTATCTTCCGGCGGCTATTGACTAGACATTGCTTAAAAGATGAGTGATTATTTGAATTCGAGGGTGAGCTACTTCTTAGTGGCTGTCTTGAGTTCTCTTTTTGTACAGTCCATTCTACTCGGACTTAGACTAGTTCTTTAGATGATGAATCTTGTTAGAGTTTTGATACATTGACTTTCACGTTCTAGGGGTTGTATTTCCGCATTCGTATTAGTTCATTTGTTTAGTTCCTTAATAAATATTTTAGTAATTAAACCTGCTTGTGTATCTTTAAATGCCTTAATTTTTCGTTAAGTTGCTTGGTTGAATTATAGTAATAATTCTCTCATCGGAAAATTAGTGCGGATGCTAATCACAAAGGTTTGGATTGGGTGACATGTAGCAAGATGATTAGCTATTGTGTTGAGTGAAGCGAAAATCATATCTTTGGTCAAAATAATAGAAATAAAATGGGAAAATAATGATACCAACAGATGAGAATGGGGATTTCTTTGAAATTATAAATGTAGCAAACCTTTTTCCTTTTCTTAATAATTTGTGGAAGAATATTTAGTTGGAAAAGTTTACTCATTGGATACACTTACATAAGATGATGTATTTTACAGAATTTTTTTGCAACTCACAATAGGTCATGAAGATAAAAGAAGGCCACACTTATTACTCAAAACAAAATATGAAGACAAGTTTAAGCCCAAATGGCCATGACTGACATTCCACCAGCACCAAGAAGAACAGCCATGTAAGACTTAATTTGTAGTTTGACACTGCCTTGTAATTTGTCACCCATAAAATCAGCAGCAAGAAGATCAACCAAAGCCATATATATCAAAAGTCCAGCAGATGATGCATTCAGTAATCCAACAGTTATTAACGCCCGTGGACTATTTTCCTCATAAGTAGTTGACAATGCTATCCCAAGTGCTATACCAAATGGTGTTGTTACTGCGAAGAAAAACGCCATTATAGCCTTCTTCATGAACTTATACTCCGCCTGTATTAGAGCAAATGTTGAATTAGTGAATGTATTTGCAAATAGTCGAGTAATAAAATGAACAAACACTATAGCTACTTGCCTGTAGGATGCAACCACCAAGGCCCATTCCTTCAAACATTTGATGAAAGCAAAGTGCAGCTACGAGTCCTTTAATCGTACATGTATTGCTTGACGCACCTAGTGATAGCCCAATCACTATGGAGTGAACAATAATTCCAAGCTCTAACACCTGCAACCACGTTTAAAGATAAACTATTTGTAAACACAGTAATTCTTTTTTAAACAGACTAAAAAGATATATTGTATGTACGTGTTAAATAATAGAACAAAAGAAGGAAACTCACCATGGCAATTACTCTGTATCTTAGTAATTTTTTGCCATCAAGTCCATCTTTAGTCGAAAGGGATCCATGATGATGATGGGAATGAACATGATTTCCAGCCACAGCCATTTCTTGATCACCTTCTGGATTAACCACACCACCATTATGCTTTTTGCTGTATAAACTAGTAGCTATAGAGTCAATAGCCATCGTTACTATAGCGGACAACATTGCCACAAATCCAGTAAAGGGGAATTTGTGCCACGGGTGCTCCTTAAGGCAACTCGATGACAACATGTCAAACGAGTCCGGTAGCACGTGCATAAACCCCGTAGCCAGGATAATTCCAGCAGCAAATGCCTTAACTATCACAAAAAGGTTTCTTTCCGGGCTTAGGGCCGGAATAGAACGTGTGACTAGTGGAAGACATACTCCGATCATACTAGTGATAAGGATGGAGACTATGGCTATGATTTTTAAGGGTAACGCTTTGGATTTATTGACACATGAGTTGTCTTCTTCTGCTCCACAATCTTCTACTACTGATAGTACTCGAGGGGCCAAAATTGAGATGAGAAGGAGGAAAATGGCGATGTACTTGAAATTATAATTTGCCATTGTGCAATTGTGAAGAATTTTTTTAGTATAAGAATATGTTTTTGTTGTTTGTTTGTGGTTGGGACTTATGAGTTATTATGTTATCTTCAGGCTACTAGCTATTTATATATACTGAGTTTTGGTATTCCGTGTGCTAGCTAGGATTTACAATATATAAAATACATTATCAAACGTAACTTAGGGTAAGGCTAAACAATAATTGGTGGTTATGTCATTTTTTAAAAAATAATTGAAGCCTAATACTATTTCACCAAAGCTAGCATGAAAATGGCTGGAATCAGCGAAAATAAACAATATTTTTTGAATAGTGAAATAGAAGTAAACGTTATAGTTTTATATCATAGTAATAAAGGCATGAAGTGGGCCTAAATGTTTAATAAAGATATATACATGTGGATTTTGTACTTACAAATACGGAAAATGAATATCCAAAATGGCAAAGGGTGTGTTTTAAACGAGCGCTGAATAAGGAAAGGACGTGTTTGATGTTGACTTGGTAGTTTCCTATCCTATCTGGATTTTACAAAATATGATCATTTTATGATTTAATATCGAAAGTATTCGGCTATATAGACACAAAAAAGTAAACAGTAGATCAAATTAGATTATTTATATCAATTAATATCTCATTAAACGTGAATTATCTTGATTTTATGATTTTACGAGTTACGTATGGTCAATTGTGTATAAAATCCTCAAACAATAGGTTGATTGATTTTATAGTACTATCACAAACAAATTTAACAATATATGAAAGAACCATATATGTAAATATAAATTGATGAATTAAGTTCGAACACAAATGAGTTGATAAAAATGACTAGATGCTTGAAGTTATAGAGAAATAATATTTTTAACGATTGGTGTTCTTTAGATTTATTTCTTAATTCTTTTGTACCTCTCATATGTAATATGTAAGGAACATGGACGAAGAATATGAGTTACGAGTTCAATTAAATCCAATAACTTTGATCCAAATTATATATTTCTCTTAAGAAATGTAATATATGTCTACAAACTACTAGTTTTGAAGCAAATAACATAAACAGGTTAAAATAGTGGACTCATAAACTTCAGATTATGTCACCACCTAATCTACTTAGCTTAGCAAACTTCTTAATAACATTGACTAAGGATTAATTATTGATGTAGTCCTCATCCATAAACTATATATTAGGATGAGTTAAATATGAGATCAAGCCCATTTGGCCATTAGAGACATGCCACCAGCACCCAAAAGTACAGCAATAAAAGCCTTGATTTGTAACTTGATGCTACCTTGTAATTTGTCACCCATAAAATCAGCAGCAAGAAGATCAACCAAAGCCATATATATCAAAAGCCCAGCAGATGATGCATTCAATAAGCCCACAGTTATTAAAGCACGAGGGCTATTTTCTTGATAAGTATTTGATAGTGCAATTCCAAGTGCTATACCAAATGGAGTTGTTACTGAAAAGAAAAATGCCATTGCTGTCTTTTTCAACATTTTGTACTCTGCCTATATATTTGGAGAAAAAAACAAATAAAAAATATCAAGACACTTTCATGGACCTTATAACAAACTTTACTTTATTTCACTAAAGTCATTTAATCATTCAATTTTATTTATCCATCAGCTATTGTCCTTATTATCCAATTTATTTGACCTTTCATATTTAACTAACTTCAATTATTGATCCTTTTATTTATTTTTTTGTAACGTGATTTGATTAGTTACTACTCTACTAGTACTTTTTGTTGTCCTGATAATTAATATCTCTTTCAATTTATTAAGAAAATTACCTGAAGAATGCAACCACCTAGTCCCATTCCTTCAAACATTTGATGAAAGCAAAGTGCAGCAACAAGTCCTTTAATTGTGCATGTATTGTTTGAAGATCCAAGTGAAATCCCTATTACTATTGAGTGAACTATAATACCAAGCTCTAATACCTGCCAATAAATAAATAAGATTTCCATGATGTACCTATCACTTCGATTTAATCGATTGTAGTTATAATTTTCCCTGTTACAATATTACTATTTGCAATAATGGGTTATAGATGTTATTGTAGGCCAACTTAACTTTCTGATCGAAAAAATAATTCACTATTAATACACAAAACTTAACCAATAAAATTATTGTGTTTAGTGGAGGATACCGAATCGGGGTTCAGGGATGAATAATTTATGCCTGTGAAATTATAAGAACGTAAAATGGTCAAAACTATTCTTAAACTATCCGAAATATCTCCTTAAACTATCCAAAATATCTTAAATATATCCTTAAACTATATTTCGACTCAAAAATACCCCTCCCTTCAAACTATTGTCCGCACCTACCCTTCTAGTTAACGGAAGTATCTATCTTTATGATTTCTAAAATAAAATTTTATATATTTAAAAATTACGTTAAAAAATATTTTAAATTACAATATTAATAATTCAAAATATTTTTAAAATACGAAAAGACTACTATCAGAAAACTTGTTTGGAATAGCATTTTAGTCAACATAAGCACATGGACCACCGTATCTAAAATAGGATTTTAGCTAATTTAGTATTGTTTGGAACAAAAACGTAACCTAGCTAAAATTCGGTAAAAAATGTCATAATTATTTGTTGTTGACAGGAAAAGACATGCATGTGAACTCTGGCTACAAACTTTGAATTTTGAATCTATCTATAAATGGTATATACAGCACTCTAACAAGAATCTATTCTTTAAATTATTATGAACCATTTATGTTATGCACTCTCAATGTACAAAAACATATAATTCCACCAATAAATTAATAATTCAAACGATATCACACAAAAATTAAACAGAATAATAAGTGAATAAATTAATAATTCAAACGATATCGCATAAATTAAACAGAATAAGTGAACGATAGACTAACCATAGCAATGACTCGATAACGAAGTAGTTTCGTTCCATCTTTAAGAGAACCATGGTGATGAGAATGAAAATGCACATTATTATTCACCATATTGCCCAATTCTTGATCAGCAGTACCATTAATAACATTTTGTACTTGTACACGAGCATTATTGTGCTTTTTGCTGTACAAACTAGTAGCCATAGAGTCGATAGCCAATGTAACTATAGCAGACAACATAGCAACAAATCCAGTAAAAGGAAACTTATGCCAAGGATTTTCCTTCAAACAATTTGACAACAACATTTCAAATGAGTCTGGTAACACGTGCATGAAACCTGTTCCTAGTATAATTCCAGCAGCAAATGCCTTGACGATAACGAAAACGTTACGATCAGGGCTTAACGCTGAAATCGAACGTGTAACGAGAGGTAAACATACTCCAATCATGCTAGTGACTAATATTGAAACTATAGCTATGATTTTTAAGGTTAATGCTTTGGATTTGTTGTTGCATGTGTTATGTATTTGTGATTCACATGATGAGTAGTCACTTTGTGAGAAAGTTTGAGGGGTGAAAATGGAAATGAGGATGAAAAAGATGAAGATAATCTTGGAATTAGAAGAAGCCATTGATGTATTTTTTTAAAAGAAATTCTTTCTTGGTTTTGGTGAATATTTATTTTTGCTTTGGTTTGAGGTGTGTGAGTTGTGATATGGTTTGAGGTGTGTGAGTTGTGATATCAGAGAGATGCTATATAGATATAGAATTAATTTGGTGATATATCGATCGATCGATCATGTGCATTCATAAAAATAATATAGTAAGGTCTTAAATGCTAAGCTGACATGTTGGTGTAACAGTTTTATTTTACTTGTTTTGATTTATTAAATTTTGTGAGATTTTTTGATAATCAATTCAAAATTGATTTAATCGCAGGCCAAATTGTTGATTTAATTCTGTTAAAGAATGACAAAAGTCTCACATCGGTGATAAATGAGATGGTGGACTCCTTATAAAGCTTGGGCAATCTTTCTCCTTTTGAGCTAGCTTTTGGGGTGTGAGTTAAGTCTAAGACCTAATTTCGTATCAGAGCAGGGTCCGTCTCACCTGATGTTGTTGGGACCCCCAAAATTAAATTGCCCACGCACCAGATGTTAAGCAATGGGCGTGATGTCGGGTGTTGCAGAATGACAAAAGTTTTACATCGGTGATTAATGAGATGGGTGTATTCCTTATAAGGCTTGAGCAATTCTTCTCCTTTTGAGCTAGCTTTTGGGGTGTAGTATATATGTTGTAAGGCTGTTAAGTGCCTATTGTATTGCAAAAACAGGTAAATGTCAAATCTCGAGAACTACAAAATGAAAGTAAATGCATCGTTTTATTTAATTGCATGGTAGCATGAAACCTTCATACCCTTCTGCTGGTGGGGGATGGATAGAAAATTAAGAAGGAAAGTATTGAAAACATTTTTAAAATTTGACGTGATTTTTTAACATGAGTTAAATATATTCCTAAATTTTTATCAAATTTAGAGTGTTTTCAACATTTTTCTTGATTTTTTATTAAGAGTTTCTTTCCTACAAGAGTTTGACAGTGCACTTGTTATGTCATGTTTCTTTCCTACAAGAGGGTGTATCTAAATTTATTAGTCAAGTAGAGAGTTGTTTTAAAGACAGTCGATAGTACAAGCACGAAACTAATAATTTACTACAAAGTTTTTTCAATATTTTTCTCGAAATTAAGACATGTTTGTAGCAAGAAATAGAAGTTAATGCTCGAAAATATAGGTGCATAAATCTGACGCACAAAATTTTGAAGACACGGCTCTCTTTATCAACTTATGTGCAATTGTATAGAGGAAAGTACAAAAATCTCATGTGTTTCAGTTACGAGTATTATGTGTCAATTTTTTACTGATTTCAGGTGTAAAGAATCATATACTAACTAAAATAATACTATTGGAATTGAATAACATATGCCAAGATCTAACAAGACGGATGCCTTGGGAAATGGGATCTGATTACAAACAAATTATCTGAAGCCAATTTAACCAGCTCTGTATTTCCATAAAGACTCTGTAAGCAACAATATGGGCATCCCAGAAAGAAGCATCTGGACAAACGACATGCTTGTAAGCCCTAGAAAACAGTATCATCATGCAGCTAAACTGCTTTTAGTGTAGGCTTAATAACAAACTCCTCCGTTGCGCGGAGATACTTGCATGATCATCTTCTTCAACTATCCTTAATGGCCTGCAGTTCACAATGGAGAAGGAAAACATGTATTTCCGGCATATCCTTAGATAGATGCAGAGATATCATACGGTTCCCATGGATACCATGACAATGATCGTCCAGAGGTCGATGAGGAAGGTATAAATAAAGACAGCCAGATGAAGAACAACCTCAAACACATGCCCATGAGTCACTTTACTCTTCTTGCAATGCACCTAAATGGCATGTGCTGGTAAGATGATCATTCAAGGTCCTCGTATTGGTGCAAACACATGCAAGGCCATTTCGAGCATAACTTGTGGTCACTCTGTTCCACAAAACTACATCATGAACATGGATCTCTCAAGAGAGCAATCACTAAAACGCAGGTTAGAATACGTATCAACCATGGCATTCCACCAAAGTAATGTCTTCCTCAATCAACATCTCCTCAAGTATATAAATCAATGAAAAGAACAGCTCACGGGAATTTGATGGTTCGAGCAATACTAGAGGCGTAAAAGCTCACTACAGCAGCAGGTTGAATGTCCTTTAACGTCATCTCCTGAAAGTACTTAAGGGCTTTATCTGGCCTATCAACGAGTTCCATGATATTTAATCCTTACAACCATAGCATTACATACCATTTGAAATTGGCAACATATTTGTCAAGGCATTGACACAAAGACGTCAAGTTCCAATCATGCCTCATAACATAAAAGTGAATTTCCATCCTTGCATGTACGACCAAGCTATGTACATAAAAGAACCACTGTTGCAATAGTTCCAACAATCTCATATGTTCCAACTGAGTACAACTTGAAACAGATGGAAATGTTGAGATTTTATGGAATCCCAACCTTCGCAAGCGAAATTTTTTAACAATGAATAGAATAGATAAGCACACATAGCTTAAGTTTCAAATTGGTCTCTCTTTTTCAGGGAAGTACGATTGGAGGAAAAAGCATCATATTAGTCAAATGGATGGAAACATGATAATACCATGGTGATGTACCTTCACCAGAATTAGAATTTGAAGCACCACTGATTCAAATTTATAGAAAAACAAATGAAATAAGATCTTTTTGAGATAACATGTGCAGTGACAGGCAATATATTTAAGAACAAGATGACCATCCCAACATATTGGTTCATGAATTGGATACATTTTACCTAATAAAGCTGTTATGTAGCGACTAGCCACGTAAATCCAGATAAAGTAGTACAAGAACACAGAGAAGTAACATTGGAATGGTAGAATAGTTCTCCATCGTGCAAGAGATTAAGGTGAACGAGAAACCAAGTCACAAAATTCATGAAACAGTTGATCGTCAAATCCAAACAAGCAAATACCAAATATCTACCTTTACTTCTGGGAGATTGACGAAACATTTGTTTTCAAGAGTGCAGCTTTGACTATTTCCTTGAGGAAATGTCGGCTGATAAAGAAACAACACTCCCAAAACTGATGAGAGACAAAACTCAGGTCCTGCTCCATCCCAATTAACCTGCACAACACAAATACTAAATGGATCGGTGACCACCTATTTAAGCTACTTCAATGTCAATAACAGACAAAGTCACAATCCCAGGAAGCACATTTAGGCCTATCAGTCACTCATACCTCCAGGGAAATAATTAATCAAATAACAATATCCTGGATTAAATTGATCAACAGGTGTCAAATGTGTAATAAGAAAAGATTTTCTTTTTCCCTTCCCTCAACAAACTTGTATATAAGCCTCTATGAAATTTCGGTTTCTCCCAGTAATCCTCTATACCAACTAATTATCCCACATCATCAAGTAAATCATATAAACAAAATAAAAGCATATTGTTTAGAAGGAAAATTAAAAAATAGAAAAGGCAAAAGGTTTGTCAAGATTGTCCAAGAAAGGTGGACAGGAATTTTTACCAGTTCTACGGCCTTATGCAATCATGTGGAACTAAAAGCACTGTTCCTCACTCCAAACTAGATACAGGTTTCTCTATGACAGTTTTTTGAAATTTCTTGTACAAAAGTACCAAGTGAGAGAGAGAAACACACAGGGAACCAATTTCTACATTTCAATTCACACAGAGAGTATGTACCTTCTCTAAATCATTCCCTGCCCTCCTGCACCCTTAAGGTGGACCACAGATCTGGTTTAAGGAGGACTCATATGATGGATAAATCTCTTTTTATCCATCCGCCCACGACAATATCAGCTTCCTACCCTAGAGATGCAACCATTACATCATTATTCCTCACTCAACATCAGACCTTCCCCATATTACATGAAAGTACAACACTACCGTTGGAGATGCATACTGAGAAGTTCCCCAATAGTTTTGAATCAGCTAGCTATTTCCTTGTATAAAAAAAGAATCAGCAAAGGTTTTGCCACCGAACAGCCAATCCATATCATTTGAGCGAGTCACAAGCCTTGTTATTTTCAAGTCAAGTTTCATGTTTTTAACCCCTCCCCTGGCCCCTGGGGTTAAAGGCAGTTATGTTTCAAACAAATATTATAGACAAATCAGGGACATGATTCTAATTTTCTACATGAATTGTTCTTAATAAACAAGATAGAGAATTCTTTTAATTACTTTTCATGTTACTGCTAGCACAGAAGTTAGAATACATTCATTACCAACTGCACAACTTGACGCCAACTAGAAGCACTCACCTCAATGGTCAAAAAGTTAAACATGTGACTCATATTGGAATGACTTCTCCATACTTCCCGCAGAACAACTTCTAGCAAAGAAAAGTAACACTTCAGTCCCCTGTACTTCAACAATTTTTTCATATACTACCCCCTCCATGATAATGCAAAACAATACGTCAGTCCCTGCTGCTTCACATAATTTCTCAAACATTACCCTTCTGTACAAGGCAATAGATGCCCATTTGGAAAGTAAAAGAGCAGATTCAGTTCATTGCCAGCGGCAGCTACTGGCAATGAAGTTTGATCCTTGATTCTTGTCATATTTATCACTCTGAAAGAAGATACAGTTGCACTAACCAGCTGACTGTGCAAAGATTAGAAATGCCACCCTTTAGCACGCCAGTATGTTTGTGAATTTTGCTTTCCACGTGCAATTTTTATCTTTAGAAAAAGCCTGTATGCAATCTCTATTTTGTTTGAACCTAGTAACTTGTTGTTTAATTTGCTACAAATAAGCCTGCTAGGGTAAAATCCTTTCTCTAAAGCTTCCTCCATTACCAGGACAGCATTTTCAAGCTGTCCTACGTTGCAAAGCCCATTGATGACATACTCATAAACTTGCATATCGGAAGAATAACCACTTTCTTGCATCTCATTCCAGATGTTTAACAGCATACCACATTTCCCAAACCTAGAAAGCCGCATAAGAAGCAACTTGTATGCAGTCAAGGATATCGTAAATCCAGCTTGTCTCGCCTTCTTGTAAATCATTAGAGCTGCATGAGGTGGACCGTAGCTACATAAAGGCTCAAGAAAAGAGGTTACATTCCCTGTAGTTACAATGATCCTCCGGCTTAGCATTTCATCAAACATTTCAATTGCATCAGCTACTCTTCTCGCTTTTAGAAAAGCAGATATTAGTCTCATATATGTATCAGCATTGGGCTCACAATCCGTATTTAACATCCTCTCATAATATTTAAAAGATTCATCAATTTCACCCTGTCCAATGCAATTCGAAATCATTGCATTGTATATCTCAGCATCAAATACGCGACCCTTTTCCTCCAATCCCTCAAAAATCTCAATGGCATCATCAATTCGACCAGCTCTCCCTAAACATTCAAGAACACAACTATAAGTCAAATTATCTGCCTCAAATCCATCATCCACCATTGCTTTTAAGGATCTCTCAACTTCCTTAACTCTTCCAAATCTCGACCACCCACCAATGACTATGTTATAGGTTGTGACATCAAATGGAACTTTCTCTTGCATTTTCACAAGTAATGAACTTGCAGCACCTACATGTGATCGATGACACAAACACCGTAAAACAACATTAAGTGTCTCGGTATTACATCTCAATCCATAGTTCTCTAATTCATAAAACAATTGTATAGCCTTCGAAATTTGTCGAGCTCGAATAAAGCTATCAACAACAATGTTAAGTGTCACTGAATCAGGCATAACTCCGTGATTCTTCATTTCCTTTAATATTTCAACCATCTGCCCGAAAAACTTCCTCCTTCCTAATGCTTTAAGAATTATACAGTAAGTATCATTATCAATAGGTATTTTTTGTTGTTTGATAACCCAATTGAAAAATGTAGCTATTGATGCAGCATCTAAATTTCCTTTGTTTACCACTTTAGCAACTAAATCAACCGTCAATTCAACGTCAACAGATGTCAGTGCCTTCTCGATTGCTGTTTTGCCCTGAAGTTTCTGAAGAAAAATGCCGCGTAACTTATCTTCTGGAGTTAAAAGCTCATCGAAAACCCTAAACTGATTTTTTGGTGCAGAGGAATCTGTAGGAATGGGTTTTTCGATTGAAGAAGTTCGACGGATGGGTAAAAGGTCGGAAAGTTGATTCAGAACATGAGATTCGTCAAAATTAGTGGGGAATTTCTCAGAGAGTGATGAAATTGAGTGAGAAAATTTAGAAATTAACCATGGAAGACTCGGAGAACTGCACCTGCAACTGAGAAATCTTGCGAGAAGCATCGTAATTCTCCACTTTGATTTGAAGACGGCAATGTCACTGTTGCGATTATGGGCTTTATTACAAGCAAATTCGCGTATTGAGTTAAAAATATTTTGTTAAAATTGTTGTGACATTCTTCAAAACGAACTAATTAAGAAATAGTATAATTCGGATATGTAAAGGTAGCAAAGATAAACAAGTAGAATGACATTAAAAGGTTGATTAGAAATGGTAACTCTATTTCTGTTAAAGATTATTTTTGTTAAGAATTAGGGATCAACTTGATAAGTAGTATAATGAACATAAGAAAAATGGCAAAGTTAGAAGAACAAAATTAAATGTTCATGCATGGCGAAAGAGAGCCTAAAATTTTACAATCTAAGTAACAAGTGGTATTAGAGTGTAGTCAATGAGTATTTTCTCCCTTAATTAATGATGCCTAGATAGTGTACGAAGCTTCATATCCGTTCCACCAAAAGTCCTTAATCAAAGATTTTAAATTTAACTCGGTAGAAAGTATTGACAACTCCTTATAATGTGACTTTACGCGACATAAATTAAAAATACACATACTCTAAATATAAATATCAAACCTCAAATAAAAAATAAATTGCAAGTGATCAACCTTTAAAGTTCGACTTAGATGATAGCGAGTCAGTGTATTATCACCAAAATTTGAGCCCAAATTGGAAGGATAAGGGTTGGGCTTTATGTATGCATTGGGCATAATTTGATGGATCTCAAGAGTGGGTCTTGTTCAGACGACCCAGTAAAATAGAAAAGGTCCATAGCAAGTCTGACTGTCCATGACATTTTGTCCATTTCCAAAATTGTAGAGGAAAAATTACTATTTCTGACAAGTCTTCTAATCTCCGTGCATTTTTAATTGTCATATTTTTTTAGAGTCAAATTATATGAAATTTATATAATATTTTACGATATTTTTTTCAGCATAAGCAAAAAATTGTAATTTATAGTACTTTTCATATAATTTTAAATATTCAAATTTTTTGCTTAAAATATCGAATTAATGTAATTTAATTTAACTTTAAAAATTAGTTAAATTGACTTTCAAAATGCTTAACATTACAACCAAAAGTGAACGGAAGAGAGAAGTAAGTTTGATCACGTGCAAAAGATTTTTCAGGATTATTGGGGAGTCCATTGCATCAAGAGTATAGAGATTGATTGGGCCCAAGGACCCATTTAGCAAACCAGAAATATAGTTAACAAAGAGATATCTAAGTTGCTCCTTTCTTCAGGCTTGGCGAGGGGGAGGGGCGTACGGACCGCTCCATTCAAAGCCATTCAAAGTCTCACAAAGCGCATGGTTCAGTAACATACTACTCATTAGTATATATATTATTTCATGTGTGTCAATTTATATGATATAATTCGACTCCGCACAAAGTTTAATTAAAAATTGTAATAAAAATATTAAAATGTAGGAGTCATATATATCGAAACATGAACTAATGATAATCTGGCCACCAAATCTGCATGCCCAATAAACTTTTTATAGTTTAATGATATGTTGATTTTGAAAATGATAATGAGTTAGGGACAAACATTACAAAAAATAATAATAATAATAATAATAATCTTGCAAAATACCTTTTGTGTCCATAGGCAACGAAGTATAGAGAGTCTTGAAGAAGAAACTCGTGAAAGAACAATAATTAAAGTTGAAAAGGTCCAACCAAGCATGGTATATAAGTATAACTTTTTCCAAATGAGGACAAAATAAAACACTTCACTCATGGAAATACATGTCATCTCTCCAAAATAACACCAACAATATTATTCCACCTATCACTATATATTATAAATTTTAATCCATAAAATACGCCAAGAAAAGATATTGGATGATCAATTACTAAAACATAGAAATAGCAAGTGGGTAACCAATTGATTTTTGTTTGATGATTCAAATGGACCCCCTAAAACCATTAAAATATATGTCATAATTTTACATTATGATTTATTACTATTGACTTATTTACATAAATTTTATTCGAGTCTAATATAAATTTTATTAAAAAAATTCATATCAATTCAAATCGTCTAAGCAAAGATGAAGAGATCCTATAATCTATTCCAACATAATCTTTGGTGTCTAACTATATTTTATACAACCTCCAATTAAATAATGTTAATAATAAAAAACTAGCACATGCAATTACTCTGATAACGTTATTATTTTCCATAAATCAGAAGAGAAGCATTTGAAATTAAAACTTTAGAAAAATTATTTATTGGAGTAGAAAGTGGGATGAGTTGGTAAAACTTGAGTTGGCAATTAAATAATTTGATTGCTCTATACGGAATTAGTGACCATAGAAGACGTCAACCAACATGATTCTCTAAATTATTTGTTGTTTTCCTGTTTTATCGAGACCTTTCTTTTCTCCATGCTTTAAAAATAAAAATACTTTTCTTCGTTAAAAAAATAATTTAATTTGATTTAATATAAAATTTAATAAATTATTAAAAAATTTCGATAACGTCGAGTGATTCCAAATTAGATATAAAATTTATAGATATGTTCCTCTTAAATTATAGATTTACTTTTTGTATTTTTATTAGAAAAATTAAAATTTATTTTTACCAATTAAACATAAAAAGGAAAAATATTGTTATCCTCACCAAACACACTCAAGCTTAACAAATAGTGGAAGGATAAAAATTCAACTAAGGGTGTGTTTGGTACGGAGGAAAATATTTTTTTACAAAATGTTTTCCTGAAAAACAAGTAGATTTTGGATTTATTTTTTCATGTTTGATTGGTGAGTAGAAAATGTTTTCCGAAAATAATTTTTAGTGTTTGATTTATGAATGGAATATGTTTTTTAAAGAGACAACTTTTATTTTTACTAGAATAAAAAATATTTTATAAAATTAAAAACATTTTTTAAAAATAAAATCATTATTTTTTTTAGGGTGGGGGCAGGGGAGGAGTGAAAAAATAAAAATTTGAAGTTGATTGTATTTTTAAAAAATAAAACTAATTTTTTTAGGGTAAAGGGGTGGGTGGGGGGCTGGCCGGGGGATTTGAGTGGGGGGGAGAGGGGTTAGAAGAAGTTTAAAAATAAAATTTTGAAGTTAAAAATATTTTAAAAAATCAAAATTATTTTTTTTGGGAAAGGGGTTGAGGAGGTCAGAAATCGAATGAAAAAATAAAATTTTAAAATTGAAAATATTTTTTTAAAGTTGAAATTTTTTTCTAAAAAAATATAATTTAAAATTGAAATAGAGTTTAAAAAAAAATTTCCTTATTTTTTTAAAGAATTTTTTTCTTTTAAGAAAATAAATTAATTTGAAAAACACACTCTAAGTTTGACTAATTTCTAAACATAACGTACTTAATGAAATAAAATAAAAAGTTTCAAGTGAAAATGGATAACTTTGTTTTATCCTAAATATCCTTTTACTGACAAAAAGAAATAAAATATGTTCAAGCTCAATCTCCAATATATTTTTTTTTTTAAAAAAAAGAAAAAGTAAAGAATAAAGAGGGAGTAATCATCAGTGTCTCCTAATTCAACATCTAATCATTATTTTAACTCATATTTAATTAAAAGATTAATATCAAATTAATTTACTAATTGAAAGCGTTGAAAAAGTCAAAGTAAATTTTCCTTAACAAAATCCAATACATGTGCTCTCAGTTGTTAGTGGCGTGAAAGAATAAAAACGAATTTGACAGAATCTTTTCTTAAATCAAATAAATACGTCATTACGGTTTCTATTGCCTACATGACACTCTATTTTAAATATCCGTGCACTCGAGTATCTGATTCTGCCACGTCATATGTTCTATCAATATCTGATGGATTCTTTGGTTCTTTAATAATTCTAAATATAGGAATTACTTTTGGATAAATTGTTGATTTTGAAGTGTTTTCTAATAGATTTTTTGAAAAAAAGTATTTTGAATAGCTTAATATTTGCTCTGTATGCTGGAATGATGTATCTATATTATTATTTCAAAATTCTAACGAAAAATAGAAATTAGGAAGGAATTATAATTTATATGATTAACTTCTACTAAATTTTTTTTGAATAACTTAATACAAGTTCTTTCTCTTCTCTAATGTTTTCTGTTTGGTTTGTTTTAGAAGTAAGCAAGATAATACAAGCGATAATTAAGAAAGAGTGCTACAAATAACTTTTTTATTAGACCAAACAAACAGAGAAATCGCTATTCCCTACTGCGGTATTTACTCTTGAAATACAGGGTTAGGTGGCTTAGCTCCTATCCTATCGTCGATTGTAGACATGGCTCATGATTCGGTTGGTGTTTCACGCTGAACATTATATCTCCGTCGCAATAAGTCTTTCTCTTCCTATAGTACATATAGAATCAACAACAATAATGCTGGGACGATCAGTGTTGCGGTTGACGATTCAACTCTCGAAAATAATAGTATTTTGACATCTCTCATTACTTTGATATTTATTTCATGATAACATAATTTAATTGATGCTACTATCGAGATAAATTAAAATAAATTAATCCTATATATTTATTTTTTCATTTTCAAAAAGTTGAAAACACATTTATAAGGATTTTATAATTTCTAAAAGATATTTCTCCAAATACAAAAAGATATAATTGTGAGAAACCTTGAGAAAGATATATTTCTTTCAAAGTCAATTTTCATACATCTACCTACATATTTGGGAATTCATTTTATTTTATGTTTTTGGTATTAACTGATCTTAGAATTATTTTATCACATAATATATACTAAAAAAATTTAATAAATCAATTGACTGACTATACAAAATTTTATTTATTTAACAAAAATTTGATTTCTATTCTCGAAATATAAATAAAATAAAAGAGATACTAAGAATAAAAAATAAAAATGAAGAGTGTAAAATCCAACCACATATAAGAACCCCCACAGCATCTGGTGCTTCTCTTTCGTCTGAACAAAAACAATGAAAATTTACTAAAATCTGCTGCTGTACTGTTGTCAGTTTGATTTTTTTTCTTATATTATACTTGGAACAGTTTCTTTTGATAACATAATTCACATTAATTCCTTTTCATATTTAAGCTGAAACACCAGACCAGACCTACACCTCTGGTACGGAAGCTTCACTTTTTAATTTGGGGGATTTGATTTTTTCGTAGTTTGATTCGTTCTTTATATATTGTTATAGTATTTATTTATGGAACTTGTTTTTTTGTGATAATGAAAGCTCTTGAATTTGGTAGCTCAGTGGGGTTTCTTTGTTTGACTTTACTGAGTTAAGAGTTGTACAAGGAAGAATTGCTCTATGTTTATTTTAACCCCTTTTGAGTTTCAGGGTATTTCTCACTTACTCTTTGTGTTTTGTGGATCTAGTGATAATGGGTATTTCTTGAATTTTGGTACAGGAGCTTTGAACTGTTGGAAAGATCAAAGCTTTTGAGCAGATCGGTCTTGTTTCAACCGAGATTTCAAGGGTTTCTCGGGAGATAACTGATGGGTTCTTCTTAGGTTGTTATTGGATTGTAAAGTTGTGGAGTTTTTAGAGTTGTTTTATGGATTTTGAATATATATTGTAAAAAATTGGAGTCTTGGAAGGAGTAGGGTTGCCCAAATTATTCGTGGGTACTTCTGAGAATCTTTGAAAATGGAAGGAGAAATAGTTTGCGCTGATGGGTTGTTGGCGAATATAGAAAATGAAGTGAAATTAGAAGAAGATGAAGAAGATTTTTGTAGCTGCTGTGAAGATGAGAAGGAATTGGAAGATAGGGCGGATGAAACATCGGAGGAAGAAGAGGATGAAGTGACAGAGGACGAGGACGAGGAGGAATCAGCAAGGGAGAGTTGTGAAGTAGATCTTGATGAACATTCTGTGAAGTTATTCTTTAAGGGCATTTCTATAGCTGGTCCTGGAGACTCTGGTTGCAGGGTATCTGGAATTGGAGTGGTTATAGAGAGGGCAGAAAGTGCTCCTCCTATTCAAATCCAGAAAAAGCTTGATTTTTATGTGGAGGAATTTGTGGCAGATTATTTGGCTTTGATGGATGGATTGCTGGAAGCTGTGAAGAACAAGATTAGAAAGGTTTACGCCCTTACCGACTCTGAGATTTTATACGAGCAGGTGAGACGTCTGTTCTCTGCAAAATATGTGTATCTCAATGTTCGCCTTTTAAGTTCTTGGTGTATTCCATCTTCAGTGGGTTGAATCTTTGTCTTAATGCAATTGTTTTTACCTTTGCAAATGAAGTATTAGTAGATGAACAACTTCCCCTCTAAGCTGCCCTCCACCTGCTGAAGAATATGATTTCATATTAATGACATTTTTACATCTTTGATCATCCCCTTCCCAGACCCAAAAGAAAAAGGAAATAAACCTCAATTACTCATTAAAACATTGGTCTTCCTTTATCTGTCTTTATTGAATTTGTCAGTTGAAAATGAATGTAAATTTCAGGCTTTCTTGGTTCTTTTACCAAAAAGATTTAGATGATACACCAAGATGGTGTCTACTTTACCAAGTAGACGTTGAATCTGATCTGGATACTCGATTTTCCTACAACAATAGGGTATTTTCCTACCTGAAAAACAGAATTATTTAGCTACTTCCCCCCCTCTTTCGTAAAATCTCATTTATAACTTGACTACTTATTTGGATGTGACAGTAATGAGTGCTTCATCGATTTCACTTGCTGTAAATTTGTTCTGTGGTAGTAGTGTCAGTTTATCTTAGGTTGTTTTAATGGTAACGTTTTATTTTTGTTGTTTGATGGTGAATATTTTAATCAGATTATGCATGAAGAGAACCTTGATAATCCGCTTCTCATGGCATTGCGGCAGAGGATCCTAGATCATGCTGATGATATGGAAACTTTTGTTTTGAAACTTGTCCCCAGTACTGGTCTGGCAAAGGCCTTGGACTTAGCCAAGGTAGCAATAGGGGTTGTCTCTTCCCATGTTGAAGGAGATGAATCAACTGAAAATTGTCCAATATGCTGCGAGGATAGACTGTTAGTGATGGTGACGACATTGAAATGTACCCACAAGTTCTGTTCTCACTGTATGAGAACTTATGTTGAGGGTAAAGTCCAATCTGGTCAAGTACCCATTAGGTGCCCTCAGCTAAAATGCAAATACCTCATCTCTGCAACTGAATGTATATCTTTTCTCCCTCTTAACTCCTATGGATCTCTAGTGAGGGTCCTTGAAGAAGCGAATGCTCTCAACTCGGACAAGCTTTACTGCCCGTATCCAAATTGTTCTGTTCTTTTGGATCCTCATGACTGTATGTCCACTCGGGCTAGTTCATCAAGCCAGTTAGAGAATAGTTGTGTGGACTGTCCAGTTTGTCAAAGGTTTATGTGTGTGGATTGTAGGGTCCCATGGCATTCTTCAATGACTTGTGAAGACTACCAAAATCTCCCTTTGGAGGAGAGGGATGCTGGTGACATAACTTTGCATCGCCTGGCACAAAATAAGAGATGGAGGCGCTGTTCACAGTGCAGGAGGATGATTGAGCTCACACACGGATGCTATCATATGACATGCTGGTAATATATTTTGTTCCTTTTAACTTTTTAATGCAAGATTCAGGATCCTATATTGGCTTCTGAATCAGTGAGAATAGTACCTTGATATTCTGAACCTGTTAGCTACATCTTTATGTTTTCATATCATGTACTTGTAGATCCTTATCTGATTAATATTTCCTGAAAACTGATGTTGAGATTTTGGAACATAAGCTCTAAGTCCCAAATACTCATTATTAGACAAAAGCACTATTAAACTCAGGAGCTTGGAAACCGAGGATTCTTCTAAGTACGTGGAAATGAAGTGTTGGTTCTCCAGGAATGATCGACTATATCTGATACAAAGAGAACTATCTTTCCTCTTTATATTCCGTTACCGTCCTGCATGAGAATCATCGAGGAGTATTGGTTTTTTCCTTTTACACTATCAGAAAATAAGTTCTTTTTTAGCACTTCATGTAGGGAAGTTCTTTTAACATATATATTGCTTCTTGCATTTTATCTGCACCTCATCTAATTGCCTATATGTTGTAAAAGCGAAAATCAAAGTTTTCTTATTGGGAGATTCTGGAATAGGATGGCTGGTATTGCTGGTAGTGCTAATAAATGTACTGGTTTATCAACCCCTGAATGGTGAACCTACACAATCTAAATAGTGTTGGAGGTATCTGCTTATTCACTGGTGTTAATTTTCCCATACCCGTACATTGTAAACTATGAAAGCTTATTCTTTAATAACACAGTATGATATTGAATCTTTAGTTGTCTTGTTGGAAAAAAAAATGTACATACATATGTACTGTATGTGTATATGTACATATACACACACATATATATGTAGAAGAATATTTAGTGGTTAGTAGGTCTATCATCTCTCTATTAACTCTTTATTACCCTCAAAAGGCTTGACAGACAAATTGACTCAACGTGCTATTAACGTTAAGCGACCAGACCACCCTTTTCTTTGAGATTTGGAGTGTCCCAGATAGCAAATAAAACATTATGTAAATGAGGCTTAGGATGCTCACCGGTCATTTTGGAGTTATCCGATAATGGGAGAGGGGAGTGAGACTCTCCTCAGCTAGGAGCTGATCTGAAATAGCTGAAGGCACGGACTACTGCCTGAGTACACTGGGTGAGAAGCTTGGAGTTCGAAGAAGATGTTCCCTCTATGTGCATTATAGCTCAATCATGATTAAATAAACACTCTGATAGCTTGATGCAAAGCTTATTATCCGGTGATAAAACTACTGGGCTTTGGAATGATGGTTATCTGCACCAGAAAAAGCAGGAAGCATCTAGTCAACAAGTGTCCTTAGGTGTTCCAACATCAGTGTTTATTATAGTATTTTGACAGTCTATAAGCATACCTACACAGTCTATAAGCATACCTACACACTCTTTTACAAAACTTGCATTTGTTAAGCATATGAGCAAGGATTGCTCTATTGAAAGAATAGATTTTCAATGGATTGACTGGCTGCAAGTGTTGTCAGTGTCTGCTGTTATTAAGGAGCCTTCAAGAATCAATTGACCAATTTGATGGAAAGGTTATCTTAGGGCAAGATTATCTTTTGTGATTTTGGGTGATGGATTACATTTATGTTCGTGTGATCATAAGTTAATGATAAGCTTTTAGTGTATCCTTAAAGCTTTAGTGGATAAACTGATGTCCTAATATAGTTGGCAATATAACTTCTACATTAGTATCTGAGCTTGAGTGTGCCCCAATCTTTGAAAATAAGTTGTCTCAGAACCAATAGTTTCTAGCTATCAAGTGTTTCTGGGTTCCAAGTATCATATCTTGTTTCTATATGAGTCTGACTTGCTGTATTTGTCCCTTTCCAAATGGTTGGAGTTCTCGAACACTGTTCAAATTACTACCTCGTACTCTACTGCTACTGATGCTACTGCTTCTTTCTCCTTCATCTACTGTTACGTTGCAGGTAGGCAGGCTTTTTAAAAGTAAGTACCCAAGCAGGCCAATGGTGAAGGTTTATAGTTAGTGATTTAAATATTATATGAATAATGGGCAGGGAGTTAACTGAAACGAAAAAATAGCTACTTGTATCAGAAAAATGGGGTAGAAGAGCAATAAGTTTATAGCAGTGTCAGAGCAGGGTACATACAGAATAAAAAAACGAGAACCTACAAAGGGAATCTACAGAAAATAAATAAAGAAAAGTGATTCATGTCTTGCCAAAAGAACTTTTTAAAGTGAGTTGGGTGGTAGTTTGAGGACCAAACCTAATAACTTGGTGTGTAGAATTACATTGAAGTAAGTTGGGCTCTAATAGTTGGCCTATTATTGCTTTTGAAAACAGTATGTGCTTGACTGGATACAAAGGAGAGAACAGTCAACTGATATAGCTTGACCTGTTTATTCATAATTGATTTTTTCTTGAACTATTTATGAAAACGTCTTCCACAGCACTAACTTGGAAAGGCACATTGTTTTAGATAGTTGGGAAAGTTTACATCAAATACTCTGATGCTCTAAATGGAGCTAGAAAGCTTATTCTCAAGAAAAATCAACCTTCTATGACTTCTACAGATCTTTCTTTTAGGTTGCATATTTCATATTTGTGAGTGTTTGAATTTATTAGTAAGGCTGTCTGCTACGATTGCAGTCTTGCAGAGGAAAATTGCATTCCGATTGGATAATCTATCTGAGCATCAGATGAACATCTGTAGGAATGTAAAATTGAAGATAAGCTGCCCAAATGCATATGCTGCCCTTTTATGTCTTTGAAACTTGTTCAGTATATACACTGCTGAAATCGAAGTTGGTGGATTGATGATTTTAAGCATTGACAGTTTTTTGTGTTTTGTATTAAAAACTGGCAGGTGTGGGCATCAATTCTGTTATTCTTGTGGTGCGGAATACAGGGACGGCCAACAGACGTGTCAATGTGCATTCTGGGATGAGGATTACACTCAAGATTTGGTAACTCAACCGACACAACAGTTTGAGCAATGGTCGTGGGACTCATTTGAGTCGCTGCCTACTATGATGGATGCATATTCAGATGAAGAGAGATCTCAGCTGGCATTGATCCAGAGATTTCTCGCTGGTGGATTCAGTCTCACAGACCATCAAGCGTATCATCAATCCCCACCACGTTGTACAGATTCTTACGTCGATGCCATGAAGGATCTCCATCAGCTTCCATGGCTTGAACGATTCGTGTCTGTGATCAGTGACAATTACTATGAAGAACACATCCAGTGAAGTATAGATAGATTTGAAGCCATTTAGCATTCAAATGGGAGATAAATGAGTATCTCACTCTCAAGACTCCTTTGATAGTTTAAGCAAATAGATGTACTTCTTCATTTGCTTCATGCTAAAAGAGCTGTTGGGCCTTTTTTCCCTCTCCTCTTTTCATCCTAATTGTATGATGCATTGGAAGTTACAAGAAGCTTCCTCTTCATATAAAACTGATGAGCAAAACAGCACAAATCGAAGGAGACATTTATAATGTTAAAATTGTACTCTCTTTTGCCTAATTTATACGTTATGCTTTAATGAAATATTTTATCTATCACATAATTATTTGGTGACACTATCAACATTTTACTTAAGTTCTATTTATTTTACAATAGTTTGGAACGTTATAATGCATTTTCATAATTTTTTTAAAATATTGTGTCAAATCAAAAAAGGAAAAGAGGGAGTGGATGAAAAATCTCCATAAGGCGATACACAGAAATCAAAGCGAGACATCAAAATACACTCAAAATCTTTTCATTTATATAAAAAAGTGTTCACATGTCGTGTTACTTTCTTGTTTTCTACTGTATTTGGTTAGTTATTCATTACCTCTATCATATACATCGTAAAATTGATTTTTGTATGCAAAAATTGTTTTTACCAAATATATGGTCTATAAATTCATTTATAATAGGTTAGACATGAAATAAAACTTTATTTTATTCTATTTTTACTGCATTTGTTATCATTATTATAATATGTTCGTGTAACATACTGTTTAGTCAAATGAAACTCGATTATTGTCGTGCAATATATTACATATTTTTGTAACATGAAATTTACAAAAATGAAAGAAAATAAACAAAAGGGATAGGAGGACAAAAGTTAGCTAAAACTTATAATTATATTGAATTAAAGGAAACTACCAAGCAACAATAATTATTGCTCGTAAATGGACTACTGAATAGGGTGTGAAATAAGAAATAAAAGCAAGGTCTTAACAACCAAACAATAATCATTGCTAAGCTCACAATTAACAATAATTTATGTTAAAACATAAAACAATACATTGTCCTCACATGGATTGATAGAGCGTCGTGAACCTTTTAAATTCAAAGTCCATAAAACAATTGACTTTATTTTATTTATTTATAAAAATAAATAAATCAAGACCATTATTTGCAAGTTGAATGGTGGACAATTAATGTGGAAATTAAGGACCAAATAATCAGCCGCCGAATGCGTAGACAACTCGGAAATTAAATGGAAATAGACAACTCAATAAATTACAATATCTTTAACAACATTTCTATAAAATATTTTAACGGCTAGAATACACATTATTGTTGAATATTAGCAAGAGAAAGAAAAAAAACAACTTAATGCTTTGTTAATGGTAATATTGCATAGCTAAATGCCTAAATCAATCTTGTCAATGAACATACTAATCATTTGAGGCCCCAATAATGCACCCATTCTAAAAATTGTGTCCATGCTTTAAAAGTACATATCAAATTATACACATGATGTTTTATGCATTTCCTATATCAGGCACATGAAAAATCAAGTCATCAAGTAAAAAAAAAAAAATCGACCAAAAAAAGAAGAAGATCAAAGTTCATTTGTGTAGGAATATAACTTCACAACAATGTAAACTATCCTTATCAATGCAAACAATGAATCATTAAGGCCTAAAAATGTCCAATTCTATGTTCTTTTGTTCAGTATGAGGAACAGAGTATATCATAACTTCCATGATATTATATGCTCTATTGACAATTTACTGTAACATATCAACAAAAAATGAATGCAAAATCTGAGAGATATAACTACACAAATGCAAAGTGTACCTATTCTTCACAATCCCCAGAAAGCCGCTTTAGAATTTGTATAATCTATCTCTTTAATCATAAAGACTCGAAAGATAACAGCATAGGTTCTGCAGAGACAATGAAACTTTGAAGAAGATCGAACCAATCACCTGCATCCTTATCAATAAGTAATTCAAGCCTCGAGAGCTAGCTATCAGCAAGATATGTGATTAGAACCATAGCTAATTGCTGTCAAGCTAGTGTCGGACATATTTGTTACCCACAGATGAGGGCTATTCCCTACTCCTCTTATATTGTATGCATAAGAAGGCCATCTAACATCCGAACCACACAACTTTGTCTCACCCGCTTTAATCATCTTTTGGGTTCTGTCAAGAACAACAAGGCTTGAAAATGTTGAAAAACTGTTCCCTACAAAGATATCGGATCTTAAACAGACTTCATAGTCGATAGCAGATTGAAATAGATATGATTGCTTCTTGTAAATGTCAAAAACACCTAGTGTTTTCTTCTCATAGGGATGCAAGCCATCCTTCCAGCCATTCAATACAGTATTATCCTCCAGAAGAGTATCGGCAACAGCAAGATAAACGACAACAGGAGTTTTAAGACCCGCGATGTTTCCCACTCGGGCCATAATCTCTTCCTTACTACTACAAATTTCACTAATATTTAATCTCTGCTCCAGCTTCTTACAGTGAATCATCCAATCCTTTTCTATTCTCATGTGCACAGCTACAAAGGGAACCGGTTGTGATGAAGAGCTTGGCATTGCATTCTTACTTCTAACCTCCATTCCTATTTCTCTAATTTTTGAGACAACTTTATCTGCTTCCATTGATATCTCCTCTACTAAAGCTAAGCATTCGAAAACCTTCGCATAGTCTCTAGTTGGCCAATGGTCATGCCACAAAAAAGGGTTCTTCCCTACTATCCGAATGATCTCACGTGCATCATATGGATGCTTACTAATTTGATTCAACTGTTCCAAATCTTTTTCCAATGTCCACCTTCTTCCACTACCTTTCTGAAGTTCAATAATATCACTTTGATTCGACACATCTGAATAACGACTCAATTGGACAAACCCTTTACAAATAGAATTAAATCTTTCGAATTGGAAGATCTTATCAAAGGAAATAGGCTTCAAAAGTTCGACTTCTTTATAAAACAGAGAAGCACTCAACTTAGGCATCAACAATGTTCGATTAAGCATACGTGCAGTCAAACAAGCTCTAGCAAAAGCAATCTTCTGATTGTTCAATCCCCACACAATCTGAGGAACTTCAAGAAACTTCTGTTTCACAGGTTGATTCAATGGAAATGAACGGTTATGGACAAAGACAAAATTGTTCTGTCGAATGACCCTACCAAATCCAGAGAATGTTGGAAGCAGAACAGTTCCAAGGAACAAAGCAATTACAACCAACAGCAAGCATTTTGCAGCCAAGAAGTTCAAATGGACTCCAAAAAATCTCAATTGCTTACAATTTGACAAGTCCATCTGAGATTCAATCCAATAAGTTCATATACAAATCATCACAACACTATTCAATGAACCAAGAAACACAAAACCCATAACAGTTCAATCCTCAACTCCAGACAGAGATTTCAAACCCAATCAACCTCTTTTCTGAGCAGACAACAACGAAAAAAAAAAAAGAAAAAGGAAAGAGAAATCAAAATATTTTCCTACTGCATGTGAAAACAGAACCCTCTCACAAGACAACTATATATTCCAAAATAAAAGCCAAGAAACCACAAACGGATAACCACAACTAACCTCCTTTCAAATCCGAAATCACAACAGCCAAATACAAATTCAATTTCTGAAAAACAGAAAGAATCACTTCCTATCTGCTCTCTGTCCAGATAGATATAGATTTCAATCTCTGGAAAAGCTCAGAAAAACCGAGTAAAGAGGAAAATGGATCTTGAACATGGTAAAAATCCAATCTTTTTTGTTTACAAAAGAAAACCAACCATGAAAGTCAATCATCCATTAAAACCCCAAATGAAAACTTCCAAAAACAGAACAACAATAGCCTATAAATCAAGAAAAGGTTCAAAAATATGATGCATGCAATCCCAAAAAACAAGAAAACCCAGGTGGGGTTTGAAGCGGTGGAGTATGCAAGAAGAAGAAGGTTTATTGTTGGAAAATAAAGGGGGGCAAAAGGGAAAGAAACAAAAAAGTTCTCACCTTTAAGTTATTGTTGGAGTGTAAAGTGAAGCCAACCAGAGAAACAAAAAAAAAGGGATTCAAAGACAATAAGGATGAATCCAAAAAGATTAATAAAATTTTTTATGTGTATGTGAGAGAGAAGAAAAAGGGGAAAACCAGAAGATGAGCTTTGCATGGAACGGTATCAAGAAAAGGACTCAAAAAAAAAAAACTCGTATAGCGAAAGCAAAGCTAATTGCCAACAGTGCATCACTATCATGACAACTCACACACACCAAATAGAAAATAATTTTCCGAAATTAGAAAATCTTTTTTTTACTTCTTTTAAGAAGTAGCAAATCTAATTAAAGGAATAATTAATTTGTACACATCCATAGAGTAACCCAAATATTTACTCTAATTTATAGGGTGTTGACAATATGAGGTTGTTTGGTATGGAAATTGGATTGACAAAATTATTCTTTGAGATATTGCATAGATATAGTTATTTCATTCATATATATTAAAAATAAAATTTTGTATTTTATCTTTATTATTATAGTATAAAATAAATATTAAACAACTAATTTTTAAACTAACTACTCATATTTTAATCAAACACATCTCCTTATTCCTCTTGTCAAATAACTTTTACTAGAATTTAATGGATTTCTACACTTGTAGGAATTTAATCTAATAATTACTAATATAGTGTCTCGATGCAATTAAACATTTTTCAGATGTTCGCATCCAACTATGTATTTATGAGATCTATACAATAATTAATACAAAATTTAATATTGTGAAAGTGGTAAATGTATATATGGTAGGAGCATAATAAGTAAGAAGAAACTAAAAGAGAAGTTGGAAGATTCAAGAACAAAGATTAGGATCGAATAACACAAAATCATATATTTTTTTGTTCGAAATGTATTCTGAATTTTGAGATTTAAATTTTAAAAAAATTAGTTAAGTATTTAAAATTGTTAATTATTATGACATATTTTTATTTTAAAAACATT